CAAGTTCTTTTGGGGCTGCCAAAAAGAGGTTTTTTGTTTTCACTTTGCTTCATGAAAAGCTTTTGTCCCCTTAAGTAGCCATTTGATTTGATGTGCTTACAAGCCTTCCACAAAATGTGGTTTATCTTTTACAGATTATCTGGGTTTTTGAAATGTGGATCAAGGGACAAGATTTAGGTAAATGGGCACTATTGGTTGTCACTAGTATTTATTAAAATTGAATGTGATGTACATTCATTATATCCTTTTGAGTTGGGGCAATCTCTCCCTATACATTAATTCAAAACGTGTTGAGCCTAGGTGGCAGATTCTCACGCTTCGAATGCTGACATGGCGAAAATTTATGTTTCGTGATGTTGTTTTTATATAATTTTTGCTCTGGAGTTAGGTTTGGGTTAGACATAAATAACTTTACACATATATTCATTAACTCAACACCCATGTTGTACATGGGTATTAGTACTAGTGTATATTTAATAGGAGGAGGGTTTATGAAGTTAATTCACCCCAATTGCAACAGCTCAAAGTGGTGGTGGCTGAAAAACAAGGCTCAAAGGCCTCCATTCAAGGTGGGGACAAAAGTGTCCATTTCATAATAAATTGGTGAGTTTCAAATCTGAAACATGCTTTTATGCTCTGAGTACTTCACACTTCAGAGTCTTCACTAGAGTTGGGCAGATGATGGATAACAACATTGAGGTGCAACTGGATAGATAGAGATGAGTAGGTGCATCTATCTTTGGTAGAGTTGTAACTATTTTTAATGACGAAAGTCTTTCACTCGACTGTAAGGGTAACTTTTTTACCTCGAAAACTGCGAAGACTATGCAAATAGACCAATATGTCGCATATTTCTACATATTTATCGCACAATACTTTCACACTTTAACTTTTTCACCACCAGAAAGTGCGAAGGATTATGCGAATGTTTTCCCACTTTTAACTTCCGCATAATGCCCGACTCAAATGTTGCATATTCAAAACAAAATGTTTTCGTACTTTCTGGAGTGAAAAACTTAATTTAACACAAAATGCATTGGCACTTTATGGGGCCGTTATAGTACAAAAGAACAAAAATCACTTCACCAGTAATCTCTGCAGGAGCACACCCCATTCTTAAAACCATGAAACCTACTCCTATCTCTCAAAACAATCTCCAAGCCATAAACCTTTGAAATCAACCGCATCACATTATGACAATCTTTGCACACTCTCAAATTCTTCACAATCCTTAAAAAAACCGAACCCTTTCGCAACCTCGACATCCCAAAAGCCACGGCCAATTTCTCGCTGTGCGCAATAACTGAGCCCTCCTTTTCTTCCTCCTCAACGTCATGCAGAACAACACTAACCACTTCTGGAACATAACCTCCTTCGACTCTAATCCTCGACATTATTTCGTCCAACTTCCGATACGCCTCGTGCATGACATCATCATCATCATCCCGTTTTCCCCCGGCCGTAAAAGTATACATAGCCTTATCCACTTCAATCATGCTCCAACCCGGGATTTTGCTCAAATTAAGATCGGTCATCGATCTCCTCACGTTCGCCACGTCATCCCATTTACCTTTGACTGCATAAATATTCGACAGCAGAACGTGATCGCCAGAATTATTTGGGTCGAGCTCGAAAAGCTTCTCCTTCACCCGCGTGGCGAGATTCAAATTCCCGTAAAACCCGCAAGCCCCGAGAAGGGTTCGCCAGATAATGTCGTTCGCCGGAATTGGCATTTGGATTATAAAATCATAAGCCTCGATTAACCTGCCGGCCCTTCCGTATAAATCGACCATGCATCCATAATGCTCGATTTCGGGATCGATATTGTAAACTCGGGTCATTTTATCAAACACCTCGCGACCTTCCTCGACTAGACCTGCATGACTGCACGCGTAAAGTATGGCAACAAAGGAAACCCCATCTGGGCCCGTCCCGGATTTTTCCATCTCGTAAAAAAGGGCCAATGCCTCCTCACCGTGCCCTTGCATGGCCAGGCCCACAAGCATTGAAGTCCAAGAAACGACACTCTTTTTCCCCGGCATACTGTTAAATATCGAACGAGCCATATCTACGCCACCCGACTTGGAGTAAGTATCTATGAGCGCGTTATTCACCGAAGTTATTGAAAATAAACCTACTTTCTCGATAAACCCGTGGAGTATCTTGGCGAATTCGAGCGCCCCTGAATGCGAGCAAGCGGATAAAACCCCTGTCAGGCTCACTTCATTGGGCTCCATTCCCATAACATGAAACTTCCGAAAAAACCCAAACGCCTCGTCGAAAAACCCGTGTTGGCCCAACCCAACAATCATGGTGTTCCAAGACACGTCATCCCTTACAGGCATTTCGTCGAACAGTTTCCTTGCCCGGTCAACCTCACCCAACCTCATATACCCTGCAAGCATTGAATTATAGGAAACCATGTTCTTTTCAGGCATTTGATCGAACACTCGCTTGGCATTTTCAATGTCGCCGCGTCTAAAGAAACTCGTCACCAATGCATTCCAAGTTACGGTATTTGGTTCTGGAATTTCGTCGAACACCTTCCGCGCAGACTCCGGGCACCCGCACTCCGCGTACACACTGATCAGCGTGGTCCCCACAAAGAGATGCGCGCCGAGCCCGCGGGCTAGGGCCTGGCCGTGGAGCTGACCGCCGGTTCTGAAGCAGCGCATGTTGGCGGCGGCTTTGAGCGCGAAGGCGAGGGAGAAGCTGTCGGGAGGGGTGTCCAATGCCCGGAGCATGAGGGAGAAGGTGGAGATGGAGTCTCGGGGCGAGTCTGAGTCGGAGAAGCCGCGGATGACGGCGTTGTACATGAAGGGGTCGGGGTTGGGGGCGCGGAGGAGGAGGAGGCGGGCGTGGTCGAGGCCGCCGGAGAGGTTGACGGCGCAGTGGAGGAGCAATTTTCCGGCGACGAGTGGGTTTGTTTCGAGGCCGGTTTTGGTGGCTCGGGCCTGGAATTGGTGGAGAGATTTCAGGGTTCTGCAGTTGTTCAAGAGTGAGGTGCAAAATTGCTCTGCGCTGTTCATTGCGCGCTTGATTCGTGTGCGGTGTGCCCAAGCCCAAGGCAGTTTTCATTTGATCTTGTGATGCAAGTTTTACATGTCATTAGTTCTATACGCAATTAGTGTTGTTAAATTAAACAAGTATGGATCGACTCGACTCATAACTCAAACTAATTTAAAGCTCGTTTGGTAAATGATGAGCTCGACTCGATAAAGCTCGAAAAGATAATTTTTATATAATTTTCTATAAGCGTTAAGGTTCGAACTCAACTCATTATTATTGATAAAGGAGCCGAGTTGAAGCTCGGCTCGGCTCGGCTCGACTCGACTCGTTTGTAGGCCAATGCGCAATGCATGTGTTGTTGTCTACTTGACAAGAGTGTAACAGTATCTAATTCAAACGATAACAATTGAATGAATTTGATGGAAAGGTGGTACTATTATTGTTTCACACGATATTTTGCCTATTCATGGAATCCTATGATATTCGCTAAAGTCAATTGAAAATAGGGAGATTAACAACCCAATTCTAGTTGGACAAGATGCTTGTTTAATGGAGATTGTGAGACGAGAGGAATCCTGAAATTGAAAAGAACACTTGCAATCCTCATTGGTCATAGTCTTGTTGACCACTCGACCTATCGCTCGTACATGACAACGTGCTAACACAGTAACACCGTGGCACGTGAAAGGCATATTAGTTTCTAAAAACCAGCACACTTAAAATTAACCAACCTTTTTTGTAACACTTGTTTTCTATAGGCCCAACAATTCAAAATTGATGCAATTTTGTTATATATTCATATGTTAATTGCATTAAGAGAATTGTCTAACCATCGCCACGGTAGTTCACGGCTTTTATCGTGGATCAACTAATCATGGCAACAGTCTGAATTTGTCGTCGATTTGAACTATGACTAATAATATTAATTATTAAGTTAGCATAATAAAAAGTCAAGATGGCCGAGCGGTCTAAGGCGCC